AATTCGATTTTTCGACTGTTGCCGGCGTATGTTCGATTTTTGCTGACATCCTCTCTTAATTGATTTTAGATTAATAGCCAGATAGCAGTTGTAATGACTAGTTATTGTTGGTGTGTTTGACACCACAGCTGTTATGCTGGAGGAATAGGTTTTGTTATACCTCCAATAACAACATCCTATGCACACATCCTTAGGCTTGTCATACCACACTTCACTGCACACTCTTCATTCTTTTCTTGTGGAAAGTGAAGCATTGACGACCTAACGAGGATGTGTGAGTAGGACTAGAATGTTGTGGTATTTTTTCGATTCCATACAACATAGGATTGTATGCGGTGCACTTCAAGAATATATTCCGGCAGGTCTGTAGATGATGTGGGATGGGATTCTTTGTAGTACATAATTCTCATTAATCTTCCAAATAGTTACGAATTTCTAAGAGTTTGAATTTAATGAGGATGTGTAGTTGCATGGGTATATAAGGTGTACATAAAATAATCCAGTATTTACACAATGGAGAAACCAAGTTCTTAGTTGTTCCACCAAAGGAGAAAAGGGACCTTCAGAAAATGTTTTACTCTGACTTTTGCTTTTAGCTTTAATTTACTATTTCTTTCATTCATTTGATTGCTGAAACATTTTAGACAGACAACTCTTTTTATGCTCTACCAGCTTTTTTGATTCCCTTGAATTAAGTGGGACTATGTCTCTAATTTAATTGAATGCATTTTTGCCAGTTACTGAACAATTACTGCTGTATCCTAAGGTTTACTCTCAACACATCAAGCAATCGGGTGCTAGCTGACATTAGATTAGTACAACAGGGTTGTCTTATTGTGTAACTGTTTTATCATAATGGAAGCAAAATAATGCTAATAAAATAGTTTTATTGTAAACTGTTTTGTGTTAATTTGTTGTCTACTATAGATTAATGAAATGGTCCAAATTCAGTAATATTTCCAAAGGCCCTTTCTAATACCCTGTTCACACCAGACCTTAAAACAGCTTTTCAACTTATTCAGTTAACTAAACAAGTTCCAAACCTTGTTCAACTAAACTACTTTGGGCAGGTAGTTTTAATTCTGTTTAAAGATTGTGCCCAAACAAGGAAGGATGTACGACAGAGAAATCAATAACTAAACAAGGTTGGGGTGAATGGGGTATAAGATTTTTTTAATATGTATATAGCACTCCCTTACCCAACATTATCTGGTCTAGACTGACTTTTTGCAGTCACTCTTTTCCCTTCTGATTTAGCTGAGTTGAGTTTTCCCCTGTTTTGAAAATGCAAGGAGTGGGATCAGTTTACAGCAACACTACTCCCCACAGATTCAAGTCAGGGAAAAAATCTGACTTGACTGACTCTAAAGTTTTATAACCTATCATTTGAGACAGCAAACCAAACTATTAGCAGTTAAAATATCAGCCAACAACACTTTATTCTACAAACATTATGAAATGCTACAAAGCTAAGTAATAGAATCAATAAAATACAAACACAGAGATGTACATGATAAAGAGTCTTTCAACTGTTTTACTATTAAATATGATGCATAAGAATGCAATATGCCAAAATGTTCCAGAAAAAGTCAGGAAATTTTTAAAGCACTAGAATTTTGCCAAAACTTGGCCTAAAGGTATCATTAGTATTATTATTATTATTTATTTCTTTTTGGAAACATTCCTCTCTCTCAATAGTGCATTGATCCTAGATATATTCAGGGTGGCCAATACCAGACATGGTGCATAAGATACCATGTGCAATGGAAAGATAGGTGCCTGGCTTACGATAACACCAACTAAGAATGTTACATAAACCAATGACTGTGGTGCATTCCCCAGAGGATGGTATCCTAGATGTATCAGATTCCAACCCATTAATGCTCCTAAGAAAGCTGTTGGGTCTGGGGATAGGATGTAGGTGTAGGGAAATGCCTTGATCCAGACAACAAGAGCTGGGGCATTAGAGATGACCATAAGCATTGTTAATGTACTAACTGTTAGAGAGAAATTACACACATTCTTGACAACCTGAGCAAGTTTTTTGCTTCTACTGTCTCCAGGTGAAGACTGGATTTGGCGAAGAAGAGAGAATTGCTTACATGACCGTCCCAAAAAGAATAGATAAGCTATCACTAGACCAAGTGTTCCACAGACAGTGAAAGATATCATGGTATTAACAATAGCAAAAGATATTTCTTTTAAAGGAAAGATACTTTTTGGAAAAAGAAGATCCTGGTAGTCTTGTTTCCAAAACATAACTCTGCCTCCAAACCTCAGGCAAACTCCATTCCATACAAACAAAATGACAGTTAACAGTACTGCTGTCGACATGATGATCACTAGGGGCAACAGCCAATCAAATGTTCTCAAGTCATTAATGCTTGGTAACCAATCATGCTGTCCCAAATGACCTTGCATGACAAAGAATGGAAGAATAACTTGTGAAATAACAAAATGGACTTGTGTCAGCAGAAGGAGTACTCTAGCACTTCTTGATAAGCTCGTTATGAGGTCAAAGAATGATCGGCAATCCTGAGAACTTGCTAGAGTAGAAACCTGCCATGCTAGTACTAACAACAACATTGAATACACCCAGACAGGAAGTTGAACACCAAAGAACCTATAGACTTGACCAATCATCTCAGTCAGATTAGGTTCGATAGACACTCTGTGGGAACATTTGGGGTCAAGCCATAAGTGGACCTCAATATTTCCCACAAATCCTCTTGGTCTTGGATGGTGGAGTTTAATTTGTAACCTTAGACTACCAGATGATACATGAGAGTAGACATCTTCATTGAACCATGGAATGTTAACACGGCCTATTATTGATGGTTCTATTTCACAGTCTTTTGTTTCTACAATGATGTCCAAAACTTTCCAAACTTTGCTGACAGATGCCAGGGAAATATTTGAGAATATTAGATCTTCTTCAATGTCTGCTGTTACTGGACTTCTAGAAAACATCCAAGGTGAGTCTAACTTAAATGAAGAACTGGCCAAGGAATGGAACTCTGTCTTCAACACATCTGCAGTCTTAGAGGGAGGGAACATGATGGCAAAGTGTGAGATCTCAGGGAATTCAGACAGCCTTAGATAAACAAACTTTAGAGGAGAGTTTCCCGATGGCAGAAGCTGTGCATGATGAGATAGGTCTGTTGGTGTGCTACAAGGATGGCTACTAGATGACTTTTTGCAGGCAAATAACCAACTGTCTGATTCAAGATCTGTAAGAATAAGGAAAGCATTGTGTGTGATTCTCCATTCTTCTAAAGGAAAGGTATAAAGTTTATTAGACTTTTTGCCTGAATGTCCTCCTTTGAAGACCCATAACCTTCTATGGACAACTACTGGGTTAAATTCCTTCCAGTCTATCCCTGAATTCTTTTTAGAATTCCCAAAGTAAATCTTTTTAGTTCCCGGATTTTGTATAAAATGATGATGAAAAACCCTTCGTCTTAGTTCTTTGCTTAGTGAAATCTGTCCTGTAGTTGAATCTATCATATCAAACAAGGCTCTGTTGATCACAAGTACCAGTTGCTTACACCAACACAGACACAAATGATCTACAGACAACCATACTCTAGGTATTGATGTAGTAACTACACTTATGGCCTGCGAATGATCCAGATAATTCTGGAGTGATGTTGTACTTGACCGAACCAGAAGATCTCTGAATCCACCACTCACAGACACTACTGTAACATTCCGCAGGGTAGAATTGTCTCTTGTAACCGACACCTCGTTGTTCCAGTATTTCTTAATCCTGTTATAGAAATTACATAGAAAAGGATCCAGTGATAGAACCGGATGTTGGTGAGGTGTACCAAGTGTGATGATAGTATGAACTAGCTGTGGGTCAAATTTGGGTAGTGTGAACAGAGCTTTTGCGATCACTCCACCCATAGAATGACCAATCAGGATAACTGATTTTGGTCGATTTGAAAGGCCTTGGTAAAGTCTTAATATCTTTGTAATACAAAGGCGAACGAATTCAGTCTGTTCGTCCAGCATTATCCCGAAAATCCCTGATAATCTCTCATCTAAGTCCACTGTAAAATAGTTAAACTCATAGCGGTTGTCTTCAGCTTTCCTTAGCGCCACAGAAGCAAGAGATCGTACTTGTTTGTGGCTTCCAGCATTTCCAGGGATAAACAGGACAGGAATACCTTTAAGTGTTTTAAGGTTTTGAGACACTTCATTACGAGATCCTTCTCCATACAGATGTAAAGAGTATCTGGGAAACAGTTTGGATGTTCCTTTAAACAACGGTACTTTTACATACTCTGGCCATTGATACATATAGGTCATATCACACTTGTTTGGTTCTATATTTCGCACAACATCTCGGAATCCATGTAGTGCAATTAGGGCGAAGACAGCAAGGCACATCATCAACATGGCCGATTGTCCAACAGGAGAAACTGAAACCGTCATCATTTTGATGAACGATTGTTAATTGTCTACCTGGGTAAGCGTTATTAATCTTCCTAGATTGATTTCGGTGGTAATAAGTTCTTTCTTTTGAAGATCTAAGAGCAGACACTTGTCATTCATAAGTGGAGTGTTGCTTTCAAATTGGACCCGCAACACAGGTAACCCAAACGACTCCATACCGATAAGTTAATCTCTTTATTACGTTAATCGATTCCTTGCAAGCAGAGTCTCCCTTGTTGGCGATTCTTAGGGTGCAAAAATTGAAAAAAAAACCCAGCTATAATATAAAGATAAAAAATGTTTGCGAAATTTTAACATTTTAACTTTACGAGATTGAATCTCCATTAGTTGGGTTTCCTGTGTATTACCGTCAAAGGATCATGGGTAATTTAAATGGCGGGAACATGAAATGGACAAATTTGGTTTGCAATCAACAAATTGGTTAAATCTAGCCCAGGAATGCTTGTTATTTATTGTGTAATCACATAAGTACTATTAAAGTGCTTGTAGTAGTGTGTTAGAGGGCTCAGTGTGCCTGTATTATGGCTAGAGTACGTTATATGACAGACAACGAAAAGTCTGTTCTTGTCAACAACTTTGAGAAGCGAGGATGGATTCCTTGTGCTGACGACGAAGACTGGAACTTTTACTGGTGAGAAATATGAAAATGATAATCAATATCTAGTATTTGGTCAGTTTGAACAAACTCAAATTGCACTTAAATCTTTACAGTAGTTTGCAATGGAGATAGATTTATGTTTGCAGTAAACGTCCATAGCAACAAGAAAGCTGTAGGGGAGGGGAGGGTAGAGGTAGTGATTTTTCCATACAATTAGAGGAGGCATGTCATTTGTGAGGTTAATGCACCTAATAATTTGATTGTTTTATTCATTTCAGGGCAAGTGTACAGACTGTAAGAGCAATATTCAATGTGGAAACAGGCTATCGATTAGCAGATGATCAGTAAGTCATTTGTCTGCCATTTCCCAGCTCTGTCTTGTACTCCCTACAATGCCATATGCTATTCTCTATACTCCTTTCAATTTTTCTTTCTTTCTTCTACCCTTGAGCTCTATAATAATTGTGTCCTGCCTTCTTCTTTTATTTATTTCACATTATTTCCTTCCCCTATTCTCTTTTACCCTCCCTTCCATTCTTTTTCCTTTCCCTTTACCATTTCAATACTGCCCTTCCCATGGCTTCCTTCTTTTCTAATGCTCTTTAATTTTCTGCCCTAACTAAATTCCTTGAGAACCATTTCTTTTTTCCCCAATCCCAGTGGTTCACAAGTGCATCATTACAAGTGGCATGCATATTTTATCTGACCATGAAATCTAAAATATTACTTGACAAGTTGTGTTGCCATTGGCAACCGACATAAATCTTGTTCCTCTTACTGGCTTTTAACAACCTTTGCAGTCAAAGTTTGAGAAAAAGATGGAATCGTTAATATTGCACTTATATGTTAACAATTGACAAAAATACAACAATGATGACTGCAGAACAAGTCATAATTAGTTTAGCTTTATGAATAATCAGTTAATGTTATCTTTGCAAAATTCAGGGAACATCGTAATTGGGGAAACCTGTGATGACATCTATTCCCATCTTCTTGTACATGTAATTTGTTATTTTAATTTATCTTTAATTTGATTTGAGGTAAAAGCTAAACAAATAGATAAATAAATGTTTATAATTTTTGTACACATAGAGTAATCAACCATTTTCCAAATCACTATGAATTAACACGGAAGGATCTCATGTTGAAAAATATCAAGCGATATCGTAAAGAAGTTGAGAAAGAAGGGGTTCCCTTGGCAGAGAAAGATGAATCAGGAAGATACCTTTACCTTGGTATGTAATGAAGTTACTGAATAGAAAGTATACCCTACTGTTAACAACATTAATATACTAAAGGATCAGTATGTGCATCCTAGTACAAAGTTATTGATTAAAGGCTTATATATAGTAATTTAATGACTTGTATATAGAAATATCATGCATCAGAAATGTTTCTTTTGCTTCAAAAAAGCTAAGAGTGATTGTTATGACATCAGCATAGTGTCCGGTGCACTACAGTTGAAGCTATATATCTAGATCGCGTCCCATCTGTCAATGTTTAGATGTATGTATAAGTCTTTGATTTATTTTTGTTTTATTGCAGATATCATCCCTGTTACTTTTCTTCTGCCTGCTGATTACAATCTTTTTGTAGAAGAATTTAGAAAGAATCCTTCCAGTACATGGATCATGAAACCAACTAACAAATGTATGGATTAAGAATATATTACATAATCAAAGAGTTTGATGAATTGTAAGTCATTTAAGACTTGCATCTGTCTGTCACACTTGTCTGTATTATTCAAGTAAAATTGTTTTTCTTTTTAGCACAGGGAAAAGGAATTTTTATTATTAATCGTTTGTCGCAGTTAAAAAAATGGTCCAAGGATAGCAAAGGAACTCCGTAAGTATGAAGGAAAAATAACCGAAGGAGAAAAAGAAAAGAAAAAAAGCAAGAATGAATAAAGTAAAGAAAATATAAAATAGATGGTGTGACTGGATAGCATTGTACTAATTTTGTAATAAATTAAGACTATTTTAATTTGAGTAGACAATTTAGCTCATAGTTCCTATTTTTGTTCTTTTTAAGGTTGATGCATGCAACTGGCAAAGATGCATATATGATTTCTAGATACATTGATAATCCATTACTTATTGGAGGAAAAAAATTTGATCTTCGTATCTATGTCACTGTAACATCTTACAGACCACTAAAAGCCTATGTGTGAGTAAGATGTGTTTATTGATGATAAATAAGGAGTAACAATCAGACAGACAGATTTCACTTTGACTTAATAGGAAGTTTACCATCATTATTTGTCGTTTTTGTAATGGTGTAAGTGCTCAAGATTTTTCCACTGACATGCAAAAGGACTTAATTGTGGCTATGCAAAATCATATTCCATTAATTCTTACTTACATCTCGGCAATGAGATCATGACGATTGACTCGATTAATAAAACATGGTCTGTTTTCTCCCAGGTACCGACATGGTTTTTGCAGGTTTTGTACAGTACAGTACAATGCTAGTCTAAATGAACTTGATAATGTGTTTATCCATCTGACTAATGTCGCCATTCAAAAACATGGGGTAGGTGGGATATTTTTCAGTTTTTTCTGTCTATTCTGTTCTTTCCATTCACGAATTTTTCCATGCATACAGTTATTCCATACAACACATGAGTTCATCTATCTGGCATTCCTTGTTCCACCCATCCATTCCATCCATTCCTTCCATTCCATTAAGCATTCACTATCTATCAACTCATAATTTAATCATATACAATAGATCTTCTACTATTAATAATATTATGAATAAATGAGTAGAATAAATAAATGGAATTAGTGGGGCTCTTCTTACACTGGATTTGAAATGGAATTTAGAAGTCGATTTTTGAAAAGGGAGGAACATTAGATAACCTGAAGAAAACCCTGGAAGCACAGGAGAGAACCAACGAGCAACTGAACTCACATACAACATCGAGCCTGGGAATCAAACCTGCCTCATTTTGGTGAGAGGCAAGCACTCTCGCCGCTACGCTGTGCTACCCTAATGCCATTCAATCTATTTCTTAGTCATTCATTTGGCTGCATCATTTTACAATTAGGTGTATTCATTTTGCTTTTTTCTCACAGGAAGACTATAATTCTCAGCATGGAGGCAAATGGACTGTTAAGAATTTGAGGTTATACTTGGAGGGAACCAGGGGTAAAGAGGTAGATGATAATCTGTATAACTTGTGTTTATTATTACTTATCAGCATCTTCAGACACCCTGCACCACCAAACCTCACTAGCTTATATGACAAATATTGCCATTACTACTTACTATACCTCAGAGAGATATCCAAATATTGAACCCTGGAAACAAAAGATAATCCATTTGTACAACTAGAAAATATCTAAAATGCCATTGTCAAAGTGTCAAATGCATCCCAGGAATCACTTACTACACAAGGGCTGCCAAAATATTGAGACCAACAAACAAAAATACCTGGTTATTATGCATCCAGATCCTTGGGTTACCTGTAGGACTTCTAATGGAATGCAAATGTTACATTCATACTGATCAGTGTTACTAATTGTATTTTTCTAGCTGACAGACAAGTTATTTGATGACATCAATTGGTTGATGGTGCATTCTCTGAAAGCTGTCCAGGTAGGCTGGTATATCATCAAGGAAGGCTTAGAGCATCATGTTCCATTACATCTTTTCATAAATTACTGTACATACTTACATATTATGTCTTGTGTTTTTAGAATGTTATTGCTAATGACAGGCACTGCTTTGAATGCTATGGGTATGTAATATCACGATTAATAGAAGCATGACTTCATGTATTATCTATAATGATTTATGAATTTATATAGCGCCTTTTCTATATGAATATAATCAAAGGCGCTTTACATTGAGAAGTGAATGACAGATTGCTTTTATGCAATTTACAAGCATGAGAGATGGTTAGTATGAAGTGTAGGCACTGAGGGTGGTCACTGCCAGGGTTTCTTTACGTCCTCAGTGGTTCTTTTACGTCCCTCTGATGTTGGTTAGTAATGATGAGTGTGGAGAGACAGGACCGCCATTTAAAGTGGTCATCCAAGCCACTTGAAAGTCTAACCATTTGCAGATGTAATTACAAAGGCAGCACTTTCTCCTCAGTTATTTTAAGACCCTGACTGTTGGTCCGGCCGGGACTCGAACCACGACCTCCCGCACGAAAGTCTGATGCTCAACCAACTGAGCCAACCGGTTGGCGGTTGTTATCGTTATTGTTATTCAATACATTAAAGTGTTACATGGTGTTTGATGGATTTATTTTCATAAATTATTACACAGATATGACATCATCATTGATGATAATCTGAAACCATGGCTGATAGAAGTAAGTATAGATCCTTGTTCAACTAAGAAAGTTACCACCATCTCAGGGGCTGATCCAGGATTTTTAAAAGGGAAGTTACTCTCACAGCGTACTTAAAAGGCAGGAAAGTGTTGAAAAATGGTACCTCAAATAGGAAAAATGAAATTTGAGAGCTTTAAGTAAACTAAATGAAAGTTTAATATTTGGATAAATACCAATGTTTTGAGTGGTAGATATGTTATTTTATTTGTGCAAAATGGGAGGAGGTTCCTAGTCAGTCTAACCATCCCTTGATCTGCCCCTGCATCACAAGCCTCTATTTGTTGTAGTATTACCATCCTCAAAAGTATCCAGACACTTAAAAGTAAACTTCAAGTGGTTTAATTTTTAGGGCAGGTTGAATTGTACATGTATCTTTTCTTTCCAGTCTACAAATTTTATAGTACTCTGTTTAAAGGGTAATAGATTCACGCAGGTCAATTGACGACTCTTAAAACTCCTGCGTATGCAGGCTTATCCTCTAATCCAGGAGCTGCTGGTTTTGTTATTATAAATTCTGCTTTAGCCTGCATACACTGGAGTTTTAAGAGTCGTCAATGCATCATCTTCCTTTACATCCATTACTGGTACTGATAGATATATGTATGTTACATGCAGGTCAATGCATCACCTTCCCTTACATCCATTACTAGTGCTGATAGATATATGTATGTTGCATGCAGGTCAATGCATCACCTTCCCTTACATCCACTACTAGTGCCGACAGAATCATGAAGTACAATCTGATTCATGATACAATGAACATTGTCGTACCCAATGGAGAAATACCAGAGTAAGTACAATATTTCAAACTAAAACTAGCTGGTCTACATTATTGGACTACTTCAACAATACGGTGGCCATGTTAAATTGCCAGGGGGGAAAACAAAACAAAGATGAAGGAAAATAGAGTTTCGTGTAATTGTCTTTCTATTATGGGTAAAGATGATCAATGTGCCCTCTTAATTTATTTTTTGTTGTATTCTCTTGTGGCAAGCTGTTAATATCAATCAACGTAATTACAAGAGGTCAGTGGTTCGAGTCCCACAATAACCCAACTGAGGCAGATTTTTTAGTCTGCTTATACACACAATGTAGCATACACTTAACATATAGATGTAATTACTGTTTATTTGCCCTCTAGACGCTCCCCATGTATCATGATCCAAGAGGCCCACCGTATCGTCGAAGTAGGCATAACATAACATTAAATGTGTTGCAGGCAAATTGGAGAAGTTATGAACCTTATTGGAAAATCCTAAATGTAATCCCCATATTTTATATCCCTGTATTATTATATTGTTTCCAGTGTGAGATGGAACAAAATACCCTCCAAAGAAGCCATGGGAAGCTATGATGTTCTGTAAGTAAAACGTTTTTGTGTCATTTCTTTAGCCCCTTTTATATAAGCACCTTCATTGGCAGAGATTTACATTTAGCTACTAGTAACTCTTCACTGTAGACAGTTTTTATCACATGGTCAATTTGAAATGCATGTGTGATGTGATTTTGTTCCAGTTATGATGAAGAGCTTGCCCAGCAAGATGTGGTAGAGAGAGACCTTAAATCCAGGACAAGTCAAGGAAGTACAAGCCGAGGCAGTAAAGACGGCAAAACAAGACACACAACATGGAAATAGCAATGTTACACATCCACACACACTGTCTCAAATGAATTAGGCCCTGGCTAAAAGAGGAAACAAGATTCCAGAAACATGTTTCCCGCCTGCATATTCCCCGATGATTCCAAGTTTAGCCACATGCACAACATTGCTACATGCAATAAATTTTGCTTGCAAGACGCAGAAATGTTTCTTCTGCACAGCATTCTGTTTCTGCTGTGCAGCAGAAACATTTCATACTTCCAAGATGCATGGAAACAATGTTTCCTCATTTAGCCACGAAAGTCAACATTCTAAAAGTTCGTTACTTAGCAACACTAGCTCTATCTTGAAAGTGTGCATGCGATAACCGATATTGAGTAAACATGTTTCCTGATGTTTCCTGTCTGGAAAAAACATGTTTCCTCGTTTACCCAGGGCCTTAGATAACTGAAATAATAAGTATATTTAACTGCACCATTAATTTATAAGAGTTTGGGGTTTATTGCAGGGGTATGTTGGAAGTTTGTACATTCATTTTCACATTAGGTACACAATACAAGAATCTCAGGATTAAATTTGCCAAGACTTGCCTATGAGATATACCTTTTTAACTTTGGCATAATATCTTCCCATTTCAGACCATGTTAGACTTAAAAAGTCTTAGATATCTGATAATGGAGAAGGTTTTCTTATGAAGTGTGGATCAGACCATGTAAATGGCTTACTAAGAACGTTTTCCATTATAATGATGGTAATTTATATAAATATGTAAAAATAGATTAAAGAAGACAACACTGTGTTTGACACTTTTATTCGTTGTTTTTGAGAAATCAAGAAACTGACTACAAAAGAGAGGGATCATTTGAATGATTACAATACACGAAAAACAGCCCTAACCAAGAAAACTGCTGAAATGAAGTATTCATGAGAATGTATATTGTGCTTAAAGAGAATTTTCGTAGTATTGTATTTTATTTCTTAGGGAAGATTATCACTGGAATATGAGCATGATGAAGAACATAATCACTAACACTTCCAAGGAAAGTGCGGCGTAATGCCCCTAGACCTCTTGATCCCATGACAATGATCTGTGCATGCTCCTCTTTTGCAAGCTCACAGATAGCCTCCCCTGGCTTTCCTCCTTTGATGAGGATTTTAGCTGAAAGCTAAACAGAAAAAGCAATATATTTCAAATGCTTGTATTTTTAACAACTATTCCCAATTAAGTCATTTACCTATCTAGATTGGCACCTATATTACTAAAGGGTGTCCACCACATAGGTTTGTTTTCAGTGATTATGGGGGAAAAAATTTCAGGACCACTCAAAATTGTCTCCTTAATATTAATCGCAAAGTGATCTTCGACAAATTTTTAATCTTAATTCCCAACTTCCTTTTCCAGTTTTGGTGAAACATTTACCTACCTTAGCTGTTTGAGCCTTTTTGGAATATTTCTCCTCCAGGGCTTTTAGCTTTTCTTCATGTACTCCTACAGTCTTTGCCCACTCATCAGTATCCATAGCATCTGTGAAAAGCACAAAGTATGATTGTTGAGTACAAATATACCAAATTCGATATTACAAGAAGCCATGAGAGGGGTCTGAAAAAATAAAGCCTTTCATGATTTGCATGTGCGACCATAAAATCATGGTTCAAATACAGCTGTAAATGTATAAACACTCAAATTCAACCTTGACATTCATTTTCACTCGAACTTGAAAAAACTGTATTCATCTAATCGTTGTCATCTGGCGTGCTCTAGTTGTTTTAGCAGCCTCATAGAGGAAGAGAAATATAGGTTTACATATTTATGTCTTCTTGCAGAATACGACATCAAACATTTTGACCCTTTATTCCTGGCATAAGCTCAACTACATTTCAGTGGTGTGCATGGTCCTTGTTTTATTCAATAGGCCATTTGCAGGAAATAATCACTTGACTGGTACTGAATGGTAAAAAATAAGGCTTCCTTTATTTAAATAACTTTTGCTGGATTACTAATGTCATATCCATTTTTTTTAAATACTCTTTTCCCTTATGAGATACTTTCAATTTCAACATATGAAGCAGTTTTGTTTGCCATCCAGCAGAGCCTTCCCCAAGGGATATTTTGCTGAATCGATTCTTTATGAAAGTGATATATCAGCATGTGATGACATCTTGCCCATGCCTAGTTTCTTAGTTAAAATATTACCTATTACTAATATATAGTAGACTTACGTGGCATCACAGGCTGGTGAATTTCATGGCAATGGCCAATTATAACATGATCATTATCATGGCGAATGTTGGACAAATACCCTGTGAAAATAACACAAAACCGTCAATTTTATTCATTGTAATAAAGATGAAGAATATAAAGAAACACAAAATAATCAACTCAATCTGCAGTAAAAAGGTGATTGTTACAGTGGTTGATCAATCAATCAATCATGATTATTAGACATGAATAATCAAATGCAATAGGAAAGAGTATGATGCATGGAGCTAAGCTTCAACATTAAACTGGAAATCAAGAATTCAAGGGCAAAAGAAAAGAGTCATTTGTAGAATGCAATTAATCCTAACTAGTTTGAGTAATTTCCTAATACAACTTGAAACACTTTCAAGAATTCAAAACATTTCTAGCCATCGGGAACTCTATTAACCATTTTCTGATCAAATCATGGTATTTGTTCCCAAACATGTGATATTGTCTTTGTAGTTTACTTTTTTACGATTAATTGGCTTCCTTTGTTAATATTATATCAAAATCTACATCACAAATAAACAAATTAAACCATAGAAGCAATACTTTAGTATGTTCATGCTTCACGAGGTAGCTGTTATGATATTATAGTGAAAGTAATTTTGATTTAGATTAATTTTCCTATGTTGAACTTGGTAATAAGCCTATAGCAAGTAGTGATGGACGAAAGATCACAATATAACCAATACAACAAGCTGCACTAGTCAAGTATGGATAAAATATAAGCTGATTAAACCATAAAAACAATCAGGGTAGTAACACATCCATGCATGAATAACCATTTTAACTTCGTGTTGGAGTGAAAAAGATGTCGTACAGGTCGAGGCGTGATAAAAAATGTACTATATAAGTATTTGAGTTTATTAGATTAAAGTATAGGTGTCAAAGAAACACTTACATCAAACACCTAGAACAAAAACGAGAACAAATACAAAATGGAAAGATAACTGGGTCAATAAATTATCGAGAAAATCAGTAGCAAGTGAAGTGCAGTTATTATAGTTCTTTTAGCAGTTGGTATATGCATGTGTGTAAACTATTAATACTTTAGTCAAGACGTGAGAATAAGACGTGATATACTCGAATTAAAGTTCAAATTAAGTCATTTTTAAGGATAAAAGGAGAAGAAACATTAAATTTCAGATTTTAAATTGTTATATGATAATTATTTGAAGTAGAAACAGCCGCATTCCAAAGTCTTGAAGGAACTGATGTGGCTTGTCGTAAAGGAAGATCAAGTTTTCTCGAGGGTTTACAAGACTTTTCAATGTACTTACAGTCAAAAGCTGCCTCTGAATGGCTACTGGCATCTACAGGAATAAGAATAACTCGACAAGGAGTAGTGGTCTTGTTCTCTTCTGCCATTTTTAATGAAGAAAATCCACAGAAGTCAGAGAAATGCTTAAAACCAAATCCTGCACGCCTCTTATCTTGTTCGCTTCTTGGGTAGAACGCCGGTGACGTATGTACACTGGGGGGGTTTGCCCCTTTCGTGACCTTGTACTCGACTTGTACTGACTGGTTTGTTTAACGACTGTAAATACTAGATATCTCGTTCTGATATCTTAATTCTTATTGTTATCGCCTCATCTAACTTTGATTTCAATTTTTAAAGTAAAATCAGTCGATTTGGTTTGGTTACAGTATCACCTGTGAGGGAGAGGGGTGGGAAAACTTGTCTAGACCCTACTCCCCCTCTTTTGTGAATAGGTCATGAAATAAATCGTTTTGAAAGTCTAATCGGTTTATGGTTGGTTGAACGCATATTTAAAGAATAAGAAATATAAATGAGATAACTTTGATCGAATCAAAAGTCACATTCAGTGTATACATACGTACCGTCGAGTTCCTGGGGGTAGGGGTAGGGGTGGGGGTGAGGGTATCAAATACAGACGTTGTTTTAGCCAGTACGCTGAGTAGAAGGCTATAAAATATCCATATAGACATCGGATATTTTGTAAACGGATATTTTACTTTACTTTGGTGTATATCCGTGGTGCGTGTTATCCTCGTGATGTGTTATCGATCTTGGCGTTCTATCCGTGTAGTACTGGGTCGAGGTGAGGTGCAGGTGCACAAACCAACCAAGATGGCGGATGTTTAGAGATGTGGAGCGAAAAACATCTAATATGAACAACACTTTACTGCACAGTCTGATCACTAAAGGACTATAAGACTGATAACTAGAATCAGGTATTACCTTGACAGTAAATATCTTGTGATGTTGAGTGAAAACATGCTCGTTTTGTTGGAATCGAACACGAATGATATGACATGACAGCATCTAGGGTTATTTGAGACCAAATTGAATTTTATGAGGATTCTAGCTGGCTGCATGTTTAGGTACTGCTGCAAGCTAGGTCTCTCTTGCTGGTTCAAAATTATTATTCGGAGCGTGAGCAGGCCAGCTTATATGCCATTTATTTAGATATGCAAATAGTCGAAAAAACATTACGAAAAGACTGCACTTTAAACTTGGATATCTAAAAGACTGTTACTAACGAATCGAAGTAAGGTTTTATTTTTTTTCCTGTTGTTTTTCCTTTCCATGCTTCATTTCTTTAAGCATATTATGCATTCATAATTTTTTCAGACTCTTTCATGTTAATCAAGGTTTACAATCTATTTTCATTTTCCTCAGATGCGAAATTTATTCAAATTATTTTGTTATTTGTAACTTTTATTGCAAAATCATTTTGAATAACTTTGCTTGTGCGATGTCATTTTGTTTATTTTAGGAAGCCATAAACATGTCAGTCAGGCACATTGGCCTCACGCCAAGGACTCCACCACTTAGCCCTGCACATACCAATCGCAGCTTTGCCTTTAACCATCCACCTCCTCTTCCTCCTCCTCCTCAAACCTCTCCCACTTCTACTACCACTCTCAATCTACTTGAAAGTAGGACAAAGAAGCCGCATGAAACATCTCCTGGAGATCCAAAACTACTTGCTTCTTTAAGGCCAACAGAAGTCACTAAAGAAGTACAAGATTCAGGAAGCATTCAAAAACCTTGCCCCCCTCCCCCTCCCCCTCCACTACCACTACCACTTGGTAATAATGAAGGTTTCCCACCACCACCACCACCACCTCCACCACCTCCAATCTTCATGATAGGGGGAGCCCACCATTTGCCACCTCCACCTCCACCCCCACCAGTACCTGGAGGAGTCCCTATGCCTCCACCCCTGCCATCATCAGTACCTATGCCTCCACCTATTGGAGGCATGAGACATGCTACTGCTGCTGCTCAAGTCTGCAGAAAAAAGCCTATCAAACCTAGTAAGTTTAATATAATCTAAAACTATGCTAAATTAAAAAAGCCCTTCTTAAAAGTTTTATTGATACCCTGCATTTACAGGGCTTGGACTTATCAAAGTCAGGGCATGACTAACTCACAGATTGAGTTAGAATTTAGTATGTAAGGTTTTGCATAGAGAAGAAAACCTAAGTCTGGGATTAGAGACAGAGACCCCAGAGTTGAGAGGGGATTACACTACTGCTATTCAACCCTTAATTCCCAGATATGCACAATAAGCTGATTAAGTTTTTGAATGCATAAGTATTCTATATCTCAGATTGCATATGCACATCTGTTTATTAACTTGAAAGGATAGATTTTAAAGTCAAACCACCTCAAGCAGAACATGTAGAGGACATTAATGACATAATTTTTGGATTCTTGATTTCATTATTCGATTCGAACATTTATTATTGAAAATGAAGTCTTTAATATTCAAAAGAAGAATAGTTTGAAAATTTGATCGTTGATTGGACTATTGACATTTTCATAAACATGCGAACTTGGTAGCTGCAAGCTGCACGCTGAAATTTTGTTTTTTTGCTGCCGTCAATCAAAACTAATCAGTCAGTAACCTTCATATTTTGGACTGGTATCATCAAAAAACTAAGAGAATATTGACACTCATAAATTTATGTCTGATGGTAGACTTCCTCTTTAACCTTTAAATCATTAAAAATTAATGTTATCCAATCATGTATACATTATTTGTTTCCATAGTTTGCAGTCAATCTGCATATACTTTCATGTAATCATAAATTTTATAATTTTTTTTTTTTTAGATAAACCGATGAAGCCACTTTTTTGGAAGAGAATCCAACTTCAAGAAAACAAACTATCGCTTTCATCCTCTAAATTCTTGTGGAAATCCTTGAAAGAGCCAAAAATTGATACGGAAGAGTTTGAAAATGCCTTTTCTAAGGTTGAGAGAAAGAAGGAAGAAGAAAAGTCCAAATCTAAGCCATCAAACAAAGCAAAACAAAAAGTAGTACATTTGTTGGATAGTAAAAGATCTCAAGCAGTTGGAATATTAATGAGTACTTTACATGTAAACATCAGTGAGATTGAAGAGACACTCTACAAAATGGATACTTCATTGCTTGATTATGAGAATCTACAGTCCTTGTATGAAATCGTAAGTACAAAAATGTATTAATATATGATTTATAATCATTCCCAAGAGAGTCAAATGACAACTTAGACATCTTGGTGGCCAACTTGGTGGTATTAACAGTGGGTTATATTAGCTATCAAGAAATCTTTTGTTAATACCACCAAGTACTTGGCTGTATACAAGCAAAGAGCACTGTCCATCCATCAGTACAGCTTCAAATGTTTTTATGCTGTGTTTGCTAAGTTTCCTTCTTGTTATTGCAGAGAGCAACTAAGGAAGAACTAAGTTGCATTGAGATGCATCTTCAGGAAAACCCAAATGACATTCTTGACAGGCCTGAGCAGTTTCTTTTTGATGTCTCAAAGATTACTTGCTATGAAGAAAGGTTGTCTTGCATGATCTCAAGAACTTCAGTGTCAGATTCTTTACTAGAGGTTGGAGAGACTTTGACTAATTTTCGTCTCGTTTGTGAGGTATTAAAATTATATTTAAATAGTTATTTTTAGTGTCTTAAAACACTTTGACTTGAACATTTTGTTTTTCAGTTAGTAAATAGCACTTTGTCTGGTTTAATGTAGTTGGAATTGAGCAGATTTTGTTGGGTCTCTTCCTCTCTGGATGGTCTGGTTTTCATTCCTCCAATTTCCAACATGCTAATTTAATCAATTGCCATGCCCTGACTTTGATCAGCCCAGAAAATGTTTAATGGTTTGATGAAATTTACATTCAAGTTTTAAGTTAATTCCAAGGATTTTAGGGTATAATGTTCCATCCCTCTTATCTCATTTATTTTGTGGTTACAGTAATCAACTTTATTTCGAAATAAAAAAAATTGTGTCATACTAACCCATCTCGTCCATTGAGGCGCTCTAACAACACCGTTAGCATACATCATCTCTTCAGACAGTTTAAAGCGCGCAAAAATTACAACGAAGACACTATGTATTTAAAGCTTTTAATTTAAGAAATACCCAAAATAGTTTACGTCATGTTCAATTCTATGAATTGTATTTTAGGACTTGCAAACAAACAAGGATGTTCATTCTATTCTGGGTATCATATTGGCCTTTGGCAACTACATGAATGGAGGGAACATGTCTCGTGGGCAAGCAGACGGATTTGAGTTAGATATCCTGACAAAGCTTAAAGATGTAAAATCTAAAGATCACACATTTACTCTGATGCATTACTTGGTTCAAGTCTATCTGGATATGTATGACAAGGTACGTACCCTTGACACATTTTTCATTTATTAATAATTATCAAATGTGCAGTCATATTAAACTGGAATTCAGTGAGCAGCTTACATTCTGATAAAAATGATATTAAAAAACAAAGCATTTGTCAATGACGAAACATTCAAAGGACTTTCGATCATAGCATATTCCAAGTACCGTTAACCTACCTGATTAAATTAATAATTTTTGATGACTGGTGTGGTCTTTTTATAATCCAAAAGCATGTATTTTCAAACAAATCTCTTTTTTATTCAAATGTAGAATGCTGGTACATTGTCATCTAAGTTTCCACTCCCTGAACCATCAGATCTACAAAAAGCTTCACAACTAAGCTTTGATGACATAACAACAGACCTTAAAAACCTGGATAAAAAACTTGCAGACTGTGAAGTGAAGGTTACTAAAGTCCTGAAAGAATCTGAGAAGAAACAGCCCTTTAAGAAAATCATGAAACAATTCCTGGATCAAAGCAGAGGCGATCTGAAAGAACAGTTTCAAGCACTTGAGGAATGCAAGAAAAAGTATGTATTTATGTTCCCTAGATGCAGTAGAGTGCTGGTAGGATGTCAGTAGGGTGCTGGTCGGCTGTCAGTAGGGTGTGGGTGGGCTGTCAAGTAGGTTGTTGGTTGGCTGTCAGTAGGGTGTTGGTATGCTGTCAGTAGGGTGCTTGTGGGCTGCCAGTAGGGTGTTGGTGGGTTGTCAGTAGGGTGCTGGTAGACTGTCAGTAGGGTATTGGTGGGTTGTCAGTAGGGTGTTGGTAGGTTGTCAGTAGGGTGTTGGTAGTAGGTTGTCAGTAGGGTGTTGGTAGGTTGTCAGTAGGGTGTTGGTAGGTTGTCAGTAGGGTGTTGGTAGGTTGTCAGTAGGGTGCTGGTAGACTGTCAGTAAGGTATTGGTGGGTTGTCAGTAGGGTGTTGGTGGGCTGTTAGTAGGGTGTTGGTGGGCTGTCAGTAGAATGCTGGTAGACTGTCAGTACGGTGTTGGTAGGTTGCAGTAGGGTGCTGGTAGACTGTCAGTAGGGTATTGGTGGGTTGTCAGTAGGGTGTTGGTAGGTTGTCAGTAGAATGCTGGTAGGTTGTCAGTAGGGTGTTGGTAGGTTGTCAGTAGAATGCTGGTAGGTTGTCAGTAGGGTGTTGGTAGGTTGTCAGTAGGGTGCTGGTAGACTGTCAGTAAGGTATTGGTGGGTTGTCAGTAGCGTGTTGGTAGGTTGTCAGTAGGGTGCTGGTAGACTGTCAGTAAGGTATTGGTGGGTTGTCAGTAGCGTGTTGGTGGGTTTTCAGTAGGCTGTTGGTAGGTTGTCAGTAGGATGTTAGTGTGTTGTCAAAAGGGTGATAGTGAGGTGTCAATCGTGTGTGTGTGTTGATAGGTGATCCAATTTAAATGTGGTCATTGATTTATAAGGCTATCGAACATCAAAATATTTCTTCTTCTTTTGACCTTGATTTAAATCAATTCCATAACTGTTAGTCAGAAGTGTATAAATAATAAAAGTGATTGATTGATTTCTTAACTCAGGTTTTCCCATCTTTTGGAATTCTTCTACCAAAGACATGTATCATTAACACCACCAGAATTTTTTGAGGTTTGGTCAAGATTCAGTGCTGACTTCAAAGTCCTTTGGAAGAAAAGACAACAGCTTCTTGCAAAGCAAATGTATGAAAAAACAAAGAAGAGGCTGAGAGAAGAAAAAGTTGAGAGTATATCAAAGAAACCAATATCATTGACTGGATTGAAGTTGAAGCTAGCAGCATCTAACAAGAAGTCAGCCCCAAAATAGCAAGGTTTATTTCAGGTTCTTCATATTATAATCTACTTGCAATGTACTATACAATACTTACTAGTCCAATCCACTTTATTCTCATAGCATACATCTGATTTTCTCATGTTCTTTTTCTTTAACAGCAAGTTTCTTCACAGCCAAAAGTAATGGTATTATTTGTCATAAAACATTTTGTTTGGAATCACATAGTGTGCATGAGCTAAGTTGTATTACTTTTGGCTAAAGAAACATTTACTAAGTTTAAAATTAAGACATCAATAAACAATACTAACTGTTTGCCTTGAGGGCAGAAAAAAACTTTGGAGTCAGAAAGAGAACCTTGAATCAACTTAGCTCACATGGTGTGACTATGGGATTCGAAGTCCAGACCACAGGGCTGAGAGATGAGCATCAGTTTTACCAACACACCATCCTGACCCCTCAGGCTGTTAGTTTTGTCTTAGGCTTAGGTCAAAAATTGCTATGTTAACAAGGCTACAGTTATGCTCTTATACACATGTGCTAGCTGGTCCAGCAGGTAGATAGAGTAATGTACAGAGAGCAATTCTAGATAATTTGAAGGGGAATATCCATAATCATATTTAAATATTTTGGGAGTTGGTTAAGAATTAGTGTCAGCAATTTTAAATCGTATTTATTCAAAATATTAATAGTTGGGAGAGTATTATAGATGAATGAAAATGAAGCATTTGTTAACGAGAGCTGGCTTTGTTGATGTTGCTCATAAAATCCATAAGTTATATTAAATAGATAATCCTAAAAATTATAAATTTAAAATAATGAAAATAAGTGAGTCACTTTATAGGGGAAAAGTTTGGTCATAAATATTTGTTTGGTTTATCATTATACAAAGGTATTTATTAAATTATATCAATTATTTAGTGCCATCTTTAATATATTATTCAGAATTTTTTATCGCTGTAATTTATTTATCTTTTTGATAAGAGTTTATTACTGAAACATTATTTATTTACTTTTGTTGATAAATATCAAATTATTTGTTTATTTATATAGTATTTAAATTAAGTTAATAAATGAAAGAGGAATGATTTATTTTTTGAAAAATGCCTAAAAGTGAAAAGATCATTTATAAATTCAAAGATGGAAGGGATATTTATAAATTCCAAGATTTAATTTATTATTTATTATAATTATGTAATTAATGATTATTATTATTTGCATTTCACGAGTTTCCCACAAGTTTATCCATTACACTGCACGTTATTGTTTTGGAAAGCAAAATTTAGGGTATCCTAAAATGATCTTAGAAATGAAAGATACTTTATACCTGTAACAAGTGATAAAACAAAATTGTTGTAATATGATCTTGCAATAACACTTGTTGGAATTAATAAACTGCTGGAAATATGTCTCGATTCACGAATTCTTGTTTGAGGAGAGGGAGTGGGTTGGTACATCGAAGGAGATGTTGATATCTGGTGAGAGGTGGGGCACACTCTCAAAGTTTGTAGCTAAAACATTATTCACACCCCACCCCCTCATATTTTCACCTCCCTCCCCACCGCTTGCTATTTTTTATGTACCACAGGAAGACCAATCAACTAATTCATTTCTGACATACTCCTTTGGTTTGGCGGGAAAATTCATATTAATGCACGTGTTCGTGTCAGCCAATCAGCAGCCTAGTAGAGTGAGAACTACACGTGTATCGGGCAAAGTTCAATAAATTCACACTGAGCATCAAACAGATAATGATGGCTGGTTCGTTGGACTTAAAACGAGTTTTACTCTGTGATAATGTGGATAGCTGCTGTAAAGACATACTAGAAGCAAATGGCATTGCTGTAGATGTGAAAAATAAGTTGACGAAAGAAGAATTACTCGCTGAAATCACGGTATATTTGAATATGTTTATAATAATAATGGGTTCTTCTATAACGCATTTCACAATATCTCAATGCGCTTTACAATGCAGTGGAGGACTTTACGGGCTGCATATTATCACCGATTATTCATGCTTTCATCATTGCTTCATCGCCCATTTACTTACTGTAAGCTCTATAATTTTGTTTTTGCTCATAGAATTATGACGGAATCGTTGTCCGTTCTGCGACGAAGGTGACAGAAGATGTGATAAGAGCTGGTAAAAAGTTAAAGATAATTGGTCGTGCTGGCACTGGGGTAGATAACATAGACATTCCTTCGGCATCGCTCAACGGTGTACTCGTCATGAAGTATGTATATTCATTCATGGAATTGATAAGGGAGCTGCTATTGTGGGTAGTAGCTTTCCGTAGCCCAACACCGCCGTCTTTACGAACCGAATATTTGTCTTTTTTCCTTCCAGAATGGTAGTGTAAACACCAAATAATGATAACAGTTCTTATATAGCATATATTTCACATTGTCTCAATGTGCTTTACATTTTTGATCAGTGGAGGACTATACGGTCTGTGTAAGCTTATCACAAGGGAAATTCACCTTTTCGGCACTAACTTGGATTGTGTTACGTCACCATAAAGTTCGGACATCGTTCTCGGATTCCCATACAAATTCACTGACTTTAAAGAGAAAATTTAGGTAGATTTCTTTAGTTAGCTCTCTTAACAGCAGTAAGAAAAGCTTCAATCAAGCTAGAAAAATGATCACTTACTTGTATTTAGAGAACTAACTAAACATTAACCAAGTAAATAATTCATTTAGAGTCAGTACATTTGTACGGAAATTTGAGAACAATGTACGAACTTTTTTGTGACCGTAACGCAATCTAAAACAATTTATACCCCGTGACGGCAGTCATTGTTCTTTTGCTTTTTGTTCTTCCAAGAGTTTGCAAAACTAAATATAAAGTTTTGGGAGGAGTTTATTTCAACAGGATATTGCTGAATAAATTATCCTTTATACGAAGAAGCAAGCACCTTTGGCTTGGGTTATTGGTCGATGAAATAAATTAATTTATTCATATTCCATGCTGTCCCATCCCATGCTATTCTTTTTTATTCTATTTTGTTCTCTATTGTGTTCTAGTCTGTTATCTGTTGTGTTCTATTCAGAATATAACAGAACAGACTACACTACATGCACCAGAATCCCAGGGCTTGTGATACATAACAACTTGTTTGTAAATTCACTCACCTACAATTTAAAACATTTTAATCACTTGCTACATAGTTTATAGATATGCTATATGGGCTGTATGTATCTGATGTATCTCTTTCAATAATATTATTACTATGAATACTTTTATATTTTCAGTACTCCAGGAGGAAATACACTGAGTGCTGCGGAGCAGACATGTACATTGATTTGTTGTCTTTCAAGGTATATTATGAATATCTCACAGGCTGACATTATCTCTCTTTCATATTACTACAAAAATCACCAAATGCTGGAATACGCCCGAATTTTCTTAATATGACAGCCAAGCCCACTTTTGTATGATTTCCCCACCCATTATCATTGATGGGTTTCAAACATTCCATGTGCATGTGATGAAAATGGAGTCAAAATATTGGCATACAAAAGACCACATGTGAAATGTTTGGAATTTATCAAAGAAAATGGAAGGGACAATCATACTACTAAAGTAGCTTGACTGTCTTATTAAAAAAACTGGTGCTATTCCACCGATGGGTAATTTTCTTAGTATTGAGAATCCCATGAGGTTTGATAAAAACTAAAAAAAAAAACAAAAAGAACTTACCAAACAAATTTCTTTTCTTTTTTTTTTTTGCAGGCATATTGCACAGGCAGCAGCATCGATGAAAGAAGGAAAATGGGATAGAAAGAAGGTTGGTCTATAGCTAAAAAAATGGGGAAAATATCATTGAATATAAAGATTGAAATTACCTATTTATTTATTATTCCTCATAGTTTATGGGCAATGAATTGTTTGACAAGACTCTTGGTATCATTGGATTAGGAAGGATTGGAAGAGAGGTGGCATTAAGGATGCAGTCTTTTGGAATGAAGGTAGTTATTGCCTTAGTGGTATTTGATTCCTAACAAGCTGAGCAGGGAATTTTGTTTCAGCCAATCACAGCGCCTTTAGCTGCTTTGCCGCCGGCCCTCTTTCCCGGAGTACTGTAACCCAACTTTTTCATATTTTTCTGTTTATTTGACTAAAAAAATAATTATAATATACATGCCTATAAGAAGCAGAAATATGGAAAGGAAGAATAAAAACAATTTCACTTTACCCACCACATTTGCTTTGTTCTTTCTAGGTCCAAAAATGCTTAGGCCAGTCATTTTCTCCTCTCTTGCTTTGCGCACCGCGTTCACTGCTAAGCTGGAATACTTGAGCTTTGTCTCAATATTAGGCATCAAATGACTCTTTCTTTATTTGCATTCTTTTGATTTTTTTTTCTTTTCAGACAATTGGGTATGATCCATTAGTATCAGCTGCTGATGCTACTGAGTTCAATACTGAGTGGATGGAACCCGATCAAATCTGGCCTAAAGCAGATTACATCACTGTGCATGTCCCACTCATACCTCCTACTACAGGTAATCAGCAATACCACGGACAATTAAATTATTGGGATAAATTATCATATCAAACCTCTCTTTACCCCCTCTACACATGGCTGGATATACTCCCAGATTACAAAAACCCTTTTTTTAGAACATACAGTGAAAACCTATTAATATGGACAAAGTAACAGTCAATCACTGGAATCAAAAATAAGTTTCCATAATGGTTGGGTATCTGCAATGTAGTGAATGACTGTGCAAGCTTTGAAGAATTATGAATCAGCAAGGATCTCATGAGGGTGTGTTCTGATTGGCTTTTGGAATGGGATGTGTTTTCTATCTCTGAACATGTTCCAATATCCCGTGATAACACATTGCTAAATTACAAAAAATAATTGCAAACAACATAAAAAGTAGTGGAGTGGAAAAAAGTTGTTAAATGTTCTATAGTCTGTCCAGATAGGGAAAAAATATGCCCTCAGCTGGGTGCCTTGGAAAAGGACCTTAGCCTTACGGCACTTACAGCCTAAGTTTTAAAGTTCAAAACCTTGGAGCAATAACCTATATGTATTATATCATGGCAGGAATGTTAAATGACAAGACGATAAGTATGTGCAAGAAAGGAGTGTATCTTCTGAATGTAGCCAGGGGAGGTATTATAGATGAAGAGGCTTTGTTAAGAGGTCTTGAATCTGGACATGTTGGGGGAGCTGGTCTAGATGTGTTTGTAACTGAGCCACCCACAGGTATGTATGTTTGTTGCATGTTAAATATCTCTTATTCACACAGTGCAGTATTAAAGTTATATTTACTCTGACAAAGGACTTTACGGAACATCCAAAACATCAACTGGTATGGTTATGAAAGTTTTTACATGGTGTTAAAAAATGCACCTTACTTTAAAAATTCCAGCCTCAACAATTTTGAGCTGTGCCCTTGTTATTCATTCACTGAATGTATTCTAAAAGGGTTTAGTTCATGCATTACACTTGAATAATTATATTTGTAAATGAAATTCTCTACACTGCACTTCTGCAAGATAGCTGCTTTCTTCAAAACATGTTCTACATTGTCTTGGGCACACTTTGTATTTATCGCTTCATTTCCTATTCTTCGTTTCTCCTTGGGGTGATGTATTTTAGTTTGTAAATGCTATGAAAAAAAGATCATCTGCCAACAAAAGAAATTAAAGAATTTCATAATTGCAGTTACCATAATGATATCCGACTAATCAGAAATGGCAACATTTATTAAGTGATTATTAATTATTACTAGTAACAAGTGTAGTTTTTAATGCATTCAATGTGATGATAATAAGGTGCCTCAGCACAACTGGTTCAGCATCCAAAGGTGGTAGCATGTCCTCATCTGGGAGCCAACACAGTTGAAGCTCAGAAGAGGGTTGCAAAGGAGATGGCAGAACAGTTTGTAGATGCTGCTAAAGGAAAATCTACATTTGGTCTTGTAAGTAAATATAGTAGTTATCCTATCTTTTGTAAAGGAATCTTTCTTAACTTCTTTTTGTTTGATGTTTTGGGCAGCCTGTGGATAAGAATTTCATACTGCATTGTAAAATGAATATTAATTCATTCATATATTTTTCTGCTAATATGAATTTTGTTATTGATTATTTTGAAGGTTAATGTACCATTTGATCTGTGTGAAGCTCTCAAACCATCTTCTCTTGTTTCCTTGGGTCAGACTATTGGTAAGGTGGCAGTAAACCTTGCTGGTGGCAAGGTAACCAAGGTAACAGTCAGTACAGAAGGTTCAGAGATGAAGGCCCATAGATACCTAACAGCTGCTGTGTGTATTGGGATTCTGTCAAAGCCTGAAGTCAATCTTGTTAATGCTGCAGCTCTTGCAAAAGTTGCTGGAATTGAGGTATGTTCTTCATTTCCAACTATCTCACACTACAGCGTATTCTCTTGACCTGTGTGATCGAGGTAAAATAAGTTACGATGTCTAACTCTTGCAGGTGAGATCAAGCCACACGGCCCAATCAAACCCTCATTATCCAAAGACATTATCAGTTATGGTTCAACATTCAGCTGGTGAAGTGACATTACTGGCAAGTATGATAGGTCAAAATACTCCTGCACTTATCCAATATGGCAAGCACAGCTTCAGTAGTCCTGTGCCTCTATCAGATCATCTCTTAGTTTTTAAGAGTAAATTAGATCCAGTAGAGGTACTCTCTAAGCTTCTGCCTGTACTTCAGTCATCTGGTTGTAAAGTTAAGGGTTTCTTTACTGCTGCTGGCAGTGGTACAGATGAATGTATTGGTGTGGTTAGTACCTCATCTGCTGTTGGGTTGGATAAAGACCTTGGAGAAAATGTTATTGTATACCCTCAACTATCATTTTAGACGCCTACTAGTTATGATTAATATATTTACCTTGAAAGTTCAAAGACAAGAAAATTATTGATTAATAAAATTTTGTCACATCCTGCATATTTACCTCAACGAGTGATTACCGAAAAGCCTCCGTGATCTCAGCTTTGTTTTATTTTTTTTGAACCCATGTATTGAATGTGTTGAACACAAAAATAAAAAAGTTAATGCAAGACTTTTCTATTGCTTTATTGATTGTTCATTAGTTTTATTATCAATGAAAGGTATGACGCTCTTTCACGACTTACTTACAGGAAAATGGCGGGAAAATCACGTGACCCGCTGATTTATATAACACAATGAGGTATCTTATTTCCATTCATTTCATAAGAAATATTTCAGTAGCTTTTATTTTTTTATAAGTGAGATTTACGAAATAACCTTTGAGTAAATATCAGGAAGTTAAGATCCTGTGTGGTCCATTTTGTCCTTTTTCAAAAAGCTTCTGTGTTTTTCTACGAATTTCTGATGTCATTGCGTTATGCTTGTTATAATCTCGTATCGAAAGACATGTTGTCATGAGCATGTGGAAGGGACACTTCATGTTGTTGGGATGTGATTTGGACCGACAGTTCTTGTACGTGGTCATTCTGAAACATCAAGAAATAAGTTGAAAAGCTGATTTAGTGATATTTTCCATGATAACGCAGTATGTACTTGTTGTTCAAATGATATTAATAACGTCATCTTAGAATAGCTTTGTGTAGTGATGTATTGACAATAGGTCTTTTGCAACAACAGGTCACGTGACCAATTGTTGCAACAGGCCTATCCCAATGCGTTTACCTCGTTCTTTAATCGAGAAGTCAATGAAGACTGATCAGCGTTAGTTGTCTTCTTAAGATACTCTTGACTTTCTTGCTTAGTTTTGCTCCTGGAAGTAACTTCTGTGGAACATCTTGACGCTTCAATAAAAATCAAACGAATTTATTAATACATTGAATCTTTATCAGTAAGACGTATCCGTGACATGACGTCACGGGGACCATGTTCGCGTGCATCGATAACCAAGTGGCACAGCGGTATTTCGCGTGCATCGGTAACCAAGTGGCACAGCGGTATTTCGCGTGCATCGGTAACCAAGTGGCACAGCGGTATTTCGCGTGCATCGGTAGCCAAGTGGCACAGCGGTATTTCGCGTGCATCGGTAGCCAAGTGGCACAGCGGTATTTCGCGTGCATCAGTAATCAAGTGGCACAGCGGTATTTCGCGTGCATCGGTANCAAGTGGCACAGCGGTATTTCGCGTGCATCAGTAATCAAGTGGCACAGCGGTATTTCGCGTGCATCGGTAGCCAAGTGGCACAGCGGTATTTCGCGTGCGTCGGTAATCAAGTGGCACAGCGGTATTTCGCGTGCATCAGTAATCAAGTGGCACAGCGGTATTTCGCGTGCATCGGTANGCGGTATTTCGCGTGCGTCGGTAATCAAGTGGCACAGCGGTATTTCGCGTGCATCAGTAATCAAGTGGCACAGCGGTATTTCGCGTGCATCGGTAATCAAGTGGCACAGCAATATTTCGCGTGCGTCGGTAATCAAGTGGCACAACAGTATTTCGCGTGCGTCGGTAATCAAGTGGCACAGCAGTATTACCTTTGCTTGTCTGCCACTTGGTCTTGATCGACTGCATCTTCTTTATAACTTGTGGAGTAGAGAACGTATACAAGATAGGATTGATTGATGAATTGATGGGAAGAACAAGGACAGCAACCCAGGCGTACACTTCACCAGTAGGATCTTGAAAGTTTCCCGTGAGAGAGAGCACGCTGAGTATGACAMCAGGAATCCAGCAGCAGAAGTCTGTWAGGATTACAAATGCAAGTCTTTTTCCCAGTGAGGATTGCGAGGTTTTAGATGAACGTACGCTTTTTGCCGACCTTTGGACTTTAAGGAAAATAGCAATGTATGCAAGAAAGATGTAAACAAAAGCTGCACCGTTGATCACGTTAAACACTGCTATGGAGTATTCCCATCCTGCAGGGCGTTCAGATGATAGCTGTAGGGGTAAACAGACAGTTGAACGACCATAGAAACTGAACCCTGATAGTGTGTCTTCAAAATAACTTGGAATGAATAAAGGAACAAAGGCAACGATAAAACCAATGATCCAGATACACAAACAGATGATACTGGCTAACCTGAGGCTTAACCTCCTGTGAGAAAACTCGAAAAGAAAACTTTGCCCTATCTGTTGCTATGGCAACTAACACCATGACTGACACTTCACTTGACAAGGTCGAGATTGCACCTGCTACTTGACACGTGATTCCAGACCGCCATTCTACATCGTGTTTGAAGTATTCTCCTTTCCATAGGGTATGTTGTATTGCAATCATTAATAGATATACCCCCATGAGGAGGTCTGCTAATGCGAGGTTAGACAACAGGAGAGACTGGACACTAAACTTTGCTCTTTTTCTTTTGGTCTTCTGTCTGCCATTTATAGCCCACCAGATTATCACGACGAGGTTACCAAACGATGCAAAAACCCCTTGGATCCAGATAACTAGCTGTATAACAACGCTTTTGAGCATGTCTTCACAACTTGAGAAACCATTGCCCGGAGACTCGCATGATTCCAGGCCTGGAAGAGACTTCTTGGCATAGCAACACAGAATAAAGCTGTCTAGCGTCCTACAAAATACCAACACGTAGATCAGAAGCCTAGTTTAGCTTATCAAACTTACAAGTGTTTTAAGTTGGTCAGGTAGTCAAACGCGTCTTGAGGAACTGTTGATTCCTTGAGGGTATTATTGTGAAGTGTTCTGCAAAGATGAAGCAAAATAGATTTATTTTTTGATTCGTGCCCAGTTCATCGAACTTGTATGAGTTAGCGAACGTGATACATCCTGGGTAAACCCACCCCCTCCCCCCCCCCCCCCCCCCCCCCCCCCCAGTCATTTGTTAAATTGGGTTTCCTGAGAGGAATGCAGAAACGGAAGCTTTTCTCTTCCATCATCCATGCATTTTTGTCTAATCTCACTGCACCAGTGATGTGTCATTTGATATAAGACGGCAAAATGCATCATGGATGAATCTCATTCGCTATATTTTATAAAGAGGTCACGCTTAATACCATGGTTTATGAACACAGTTAAAACTCACAAGTTTTCAAGCAACATAAGTCCCTCGAAGGTATACTTGTTAAATGATTGAAGCTTGTTGTCATGAAGGTTCCTGTTCAAGAAGAAATAATATGCAAAAAAAGATGAATGGAATGAATCACTTGTTTATCTATTTCCCTGAGAATGATAAAATATTCGTTAATGCCTGCGTATTTTCATATTACAGTCGGAGACTTTTAGATCTTAAGAGATTTGCAAAATCTACGACGGCGACTTCAACGTATACTGCGAAATCGGGCGTAAATTCTATTCTGGTCAACATGGCTGATGTGAGGTAAACACCCATCGGATTTAATATTCGACGCCATCTTGAAAGATAACCGCGCATTACGCTTTCTCCGTGGTCTTAAAACTGGGGTCTTTACTTACAAAGATTTTAGTTTATGCTGGTGAAAGAAGAACCCGGCAGGAATATTTTCCAAGTGATTTTCATGAAGATAACTGAAAAAAGGGAGAAAATTAAACCAGTTTAGGGAGAACGACATGTGATGTGACGTGCAGACGTGCAAACATATTGACCATTTGGCCTAGTTGATCGTACAAGAATGAAGACTGACAGCTGTTTAGACTTATTCCATCGACCTGCAGCAGATAACTTACAGGTATTCGAGTTCTTTGTTGGTTTTAAAGGTTGTCAAGTCAAGTTCTTTTATCATGTTGCTACGAAGACTCCTATAGAAAGCGAAAATAAAAATTAATGACAATTAAGAGAAATACAGAAGAAAAAGCAAACAGCTGTCGCTAGAGTCTGGGTTGCTCAAGGTGTCAGCAAGTTGATTGCTGACCAGTAGGAACGCAGGGGTAGGGACAAGATTGTTATTGTATAAGTTGAAAGTGGCGCAAGCACGTACTCGTCTCTTGTGTTTGATCTCGACTGATAGCCGTTCCTCGTAGATTTTTATTTAAGTGTGTTCAAACTAATAATAATAGTCACTTACAAAACGCGAAGAGAAGTGAGATTCTAGCGGAATGTGCGACTTTCCACAGTGGAAATCAAGTTTTCTCCACAATCTCTAGAAAAAAAAGGAAATGTGTGAGAATGTGTTAGATGTACAGTGAGTGATGGATAAGGTGTCTGACAAACCGAACCATATCACACTTACAAGCTGTTTAGTTTTGGAAGATCAACGAACGCATACTCGTCGATATGTCGAAGAAAGTTCCTGTTGATCCGTCTTGAAAGAAAAAATGTTGGTAGATTAGAACTGACAGATCCATACATGACCAGGATGTAGGTGAAACTAAAATATGGATCAAGAAAATACTTACAAACCCTCCAGTGACTCCAGATGAACGAAGGATCGTTTTTCTATCTTTAGTATTTTGTTAAAGCTCAAATCTCTGGTAAATAATACATTCACACAAAACACATGCCAGGTTAGTATGCTCACGCGCGCATTCAGGCCACGAGACTGAAACATCTTTGGGAGCTGTTTCCATAAAGGTAAGATGACCCTTTGGTAGGGAAACAAAAGACTTGTCTTGCTCCATGTCAACGGACTCTTAGTGAGTTCCGCTATTTTTGCGCACACCACAGGTATCCCAACAAGAAAATCGATAACAATTAACCAAAAGCGTATTATTTAAAAGTAAATGATTTTTATTGCAAGATATAGGAAGATATTGTGTACTTACATGAAGATCAAGTAACGTAGGTTGAAAAAAGACTCGGTTTCCACTTGAAATAAGTGGCTGCCCGAAAACAAGCTAAACAGTAAAACAGAGGCATTAGGATCTTGAACAGAAAATACTGCATTATTAGATGGACGGAATATAAGGAAAACCAAGGTCAGTATACCATGTTCAGCTGATACTTGTATATTATGCTGGTTGATGAAACCCACAATAGGACCCTTAAGATGCGCTCAACTTTTATTAAGAGTAACGCAGATATCAAAAGCATGAAAAGTTATCACGGAAATCATAGGTTTTCAGTAAAGCGGCGTATTCCAAAATGAGGTGTCACTTATATACACATTGACCTTAACATTGCCTCTTAGCCAATCAAATCTCATGATGAACGTGT